GCGGTTCTATTTAAGGAGGCCTCGCCCCGCGGCGGTGCGCTCAGGAGGCGGCGGAGAGCAGTTGGGAGTGGTGGAGAACGCAGGTGAGAGCAGACAAACGACGGAGTATGATGGAGATTGTTAGAGAGTGGTGGAGACTGGATGAAGGTGGGGGGGTTAGGGAGGACGCTGGTTTGAATGCGATGGTAGGTAGAGCGGGTGATGGAGAACGGGAGGGGAAGTGGAGAGTAGAAAAGGAGGGAAGAAGGCGGTGGAGAGCGGCAGAAGGCCGGGGAATGCGTGAGAGAGTGGGAAAGAGCGCGTGGCCGCGGAAAGGCGAGTGGAAGAGTTGGAATCAGCGCGTGGAAGAGGTGGGTGGGGTTGGGCTCCTTCAATCGCCGGCGACGGCGCGCGAACCTCAATTTGACCCGATTTGGGCGGTTGGGGTGAGGGGTTTCCTCACCATTGTGAATCGATTCGAGAGGAAGTTTCTGGGGCACCCGCCCCGTCCACGTGTGCGTTAACATGTAAGTTTAGGCCGCGTTTTGCAGAAATTGAGGTAAAAGAAAATGGACAAAGATGTTTTCTCTCTTTTTATCTCATTTTCACCATCCGTATCATATTGTACTATCTTCTCTTCCGTGATTTTACAGTAGAGGGCAGAGTGAAGAAGCAAATCTAGAGAAATAACAGTATAGCTTTATTGCAATTGTATTACGAAAATGCCACTTGTTGGATATTATTTACAGCTATATCTGCCTGGTTTTTCTACGCAGATTTCAACAAAGTGGGAAGTTATTTGAAGAGTTACATACAGAAGAAAAGCATTGAAACTTGGATTTCCTCTTGGAACAAGGTTCATCATGTTTAAAAAATTCATTAAAAATCGCCCAAATATCTCAGTCCATTATCATAATACCGAAGCATATATTTTCAATAAAATATCTCTCAACGTCAGACGGTGAAATTTTCAAAAATATATGCCTTTTGTACTAGTTCAAAGTTTAATTTAAATTTATTTCACATGAGTCTCGTAGAATATCACGCAATTTATCACGCAATAAAATTTACAAATGAATTTACATACTTTCATTGTTAGATAACTTAGACGTTTTTGAGACCATGTGCCTCTCAAAGACACATGTCTCAATACGCTCCCGTTAGTGCTACTGGACAGCACCGCAAACGACACCTCGATTTCGCGACCTCGTCAGCGGACGTCCGTCTACTCAGAACACCGAACTCACAGACACACCGTGAAAATATACTCGTACGTTTTGGATAGTAGAAAGGGGGCGGCCATTTGGTTATCATTTTCTTCGCCCAGGCGGGCATCCTTTCAATTATACTCTATGTGCTTCGCAGGCGTTAATTGTAGCACATAGGAGTTACTCTCACTTTTTCCACCAGGTGATGCCTTCAGATAATAATGTTTAATTATAAAGTCGTTAAAGATTAGCGACATCTGAATGGCGTCCGCCATTAAATATCTTTTCACCGGAGAGCCCTGTTAGACAGCATTTAGAAGTTGAGGAGAAATTATGGCAATTCAAAGCATTATAGGGAATTTCGAGTTCACGAATATTAGTTTGGAATAGATTTGTGGTTATTGACACAGATTGAAATTCCCCTGCCAACTCCTCCGCCAATTTGATATAAAATTGTGGAATGGGTGGAAGTGACTCATTTGCTTCTCTCTGTATCCAGAAACTCTCAATGTCAGAACTGTCTGTTTGGCAGAACGTGAGATATATGAGATAACGAGAGAAGGGATATAGTTTTGCCAGGCAGCTGCCAAGACGGTCACTATGTGTGACACAAAGCTAAGCATCCACTACTCATTTCCAGAATTGTGGATTAGAAACTGGATACCGCAGCAGCACTAGCCGCCAAACCATCGGGGAGGGGGGTGGTTATTCAAACGTATGTATACGCTGTTGGTGGAAAACAGTGTTTTCCTCTTTGCATAAAAAGTATACGATGGAACAACCACAAAACAGGTGTTCAGTTGGATGGCATTTTGATAGACCAGGCACATCTAAACACATTTTACAAGAAAAAGCACAAACGATATTTAACTAGCGCATGCTTTACCTACAGGGGTTTAACTCACAGAAATTTAACTGCGAAGAGGTGTGTACGCACGTACACTTGAATCGGTAGAAGATTTTTGTTACGAAATACCACGAAGAAAGCGATCAAAAATGTCGATATTAGATTAGAGTTTTGTTGAACGCCGCGATGGGGAGGCGATCGGCCATCAAGTGCGACAAAGCTCGGCGGGCGCGGGGGCGAGCGCGGGGGCGGGCGCGGGG